AGGGCAAAACCAGGACCAAGAATTTATCTCCATTGGAATTTAAATGGTAAATATGAACAGTGACTCTATGAGAGCCTTGATTATTGTGTAAAAAAAAAGCAAAAAAGGGACGACAGTGACTTTAAAGAGGCTATTTCTGTTCGGTGCCATGGATCTGAGAGGAGCTGCGTGGTCTTTTCCTATTACCCATTAGTCCGCTCTATCATTCTGTTATTCAACTAACCAGTCAGAAAAACTCAAGCTGTTAATAAATTACAGTTTGTCAGTTTACATTAAAATTCCCATGAGGTACCCTGAAACTGCTGAAATTGCAGAATACCTGTGAACTACATTTGGCGTCAGACAGAATTACATTGAAAGTATAGCTAAATACCCAAGAGCTGTGTTTCAGGTTCTACAAGCCTCATTGTAAATTATTAGGGTCTATTAGAGTTCATTTTGGCAGGGCGGATGGAGAAGACTTTAAACATTACATTGAATATGCATTATTAAAAGAGAATTATCACTGAATAGTTTCTTTTTTTTTTAGTTTTATTATATGGTCTTTTAATGAGGAATAAACCCTAATGTGAATGTGTCCGTTTATTGATTTAGTCCCAATAGTAATTTTATGCCAAACGGTTTTATTGACGGGTAAATCTTGAAAAAGTCGGGGCCAAGTCGATGTTAAAGTTGATGTCATCACACCTGCAGACGGGTTGGTAGTTTGTAGGCCACGAAGTCACCTTCGAACCGAAACGGCGTCATCCCAAACTCCAAGAGAGGAAACTAGCTGAACAAAAAAAAACAAAAAACGAACAATTGAATTGCAGCTGTGCCTGCTAAAATTGGAAACAGATGGTTTCACTTAGTTTGAGGTTTGAGGCCAATAGATAATGACAATGTCATCTCATTTATTGTCGATTGCGTGAGCGTGTGTTTAGCTCTGTCTGATGACTCAAGAAGGCCGGATGTTTAAAAAGGAATTGTGAAGCAATTCTTAAAATAGCCGTCTACTATATACACATACATAAAACATTATATCAAAGTTTTTTGTTTTTCTTTAACCTGGGCTTTATGCATGCTTGCATATGCATGCTGAAAGGACACCAAGCACAAATTAAATAACCACCCCCCTAGCGACTCATGTACAGGGACTTGATGTGTGAAAGTATGAATTTGTCAGCAGTTTCGCTAGACAGATTGTTTACACACAGAAGTTGCATCACCTCGCGGCTCCCTTCTTTTATAACCGGGCTCGGCTAATGTGAAAGTATGCCAGCGGCCACTCCTCTCGCTCCGATGGCCGTGGGTGACACTGTTAGTTTCCACTATCGTTTCCTCGAGGTGCCTCGGCCCCGGCCGTCGACGTTTTTCCTGTTTCAGCACAACTGGGGGCCTGTGAGAAAAAAAAAAAGGGAGAGTTCCGTAACAGGAAAAACATAGACCGATTCGTTTGAATCAGGTGCTGAAACAGAAACTTGACATGCACGCAGGGCCGTGTGCCAACAGGGAACTCTAGTTTACACTACGAGACCTAATTCTTTTTTAGATCTGGATTAAATTTCACACGGGAGTAGCAGTGATACAGTAATGACATCATGCATCCATGTAAACGTGCACTGGTATTTGAGATACTTCCATTAAGAATTATTGGCCACAATTTAATAAAAAGGTTTTCTTTAAAAAGCAATATGAAAATAAGTTACTCTCCATGTTTTATTGTGTATTTTTTAATAAAAGAGCGCCGCAGAAAATAAAATCTCTGTACTGTTTCTACAGGTGGCCCCAGATTTTCAGGAAACCAGACCCCGCAATTATGTGCTCTCTGCCAGCGCCTCTGCGGTAAGGAATATCCGTTTCGGTTTGTTTGTTTGTTTGTTTCTGTTGCCTTTGTCTTACGCTTTGAAAAAAAAAAAATCTGGACCGCACAAAATTTCACCTCAGTGCAAAAGGCCTGACATCTGGGGCTCAAACCAGAGGTTTATTTAACTTTCTGTCTCACACCCTTCAGGGATGTTGAAATGATAACCCTCCCATCCCAACAAAACAAAAAAATGTAACTTTTATAGAAGATTAAAAAGATTATGATTACTCTTCCAATACGTGATATCACATATTTTATGTTGAAATCTAATAAAGCTATTTGTCTGTTAGACAACATAGATGAATAGGTCAATTTGTGCTGACTAATTTAAAATTATTGCAGGATTACTCACAACAACGAGCCTTTTAATCAATGTCCATCTTTTTAATTAAAAAATAACTTTCACTGTTACTGTTTAAAAAAAAAAAATCTGTCATCTCTCCCTTGTTTCTTGGCCTTTTTTTCGGAAAATATGAATGATAACACAATTTTTTTTTTTTCCCACTCACGTTTAGTGGTCTGGTGAAGACATTTATTCCTAAACAACTTTGTTTTCTATTCTTCAATCATAACGAGAATAAAAAAAACATCCTCATACTGTGTATTTGCAACACAAACCAAGGACAGATTGATGAAGCTCTTTATTTTTTGCACATTCTTTTTGGCAAAAAAAAGCCTCCTGTTCCAGTAACTTCCTGGGCTCTCTTCCATGAACTGGGGTCCAGTTACATGGAGATGACCACTCCAAATCCTTTATTATGTTCTGCTGTTAGAGGCCGATCGTTTTCACGTTGGAACGTCCGACTCGGTCCCAATGCGCAGGTTTCTGGGCTGGTGTGTGCAAATTAGCCTCCAGTTTTTTTGCTTATAGCGTGCTGCAGTCATCTCTCCTTCACCTTTGACCAACTTTCCTTTGCCGTTTTAGCTCCCGCCCCCCCCAAATATCAGCAGTCCGTCTCCGTGATTCGCGGGAGGAGCGCGGTTCCTTTCATCATTGGCCTTGTTGAGTACTCCCTAAATGTAGCGTTTATGTCTGTGGCCAAAAACTTGAACTTTGGTCTCATGACTCAGGTTTTACGTTGTTCCAGATGTTTTGAGGCGTGTCTCTGAGCTGTTTGAGGAAATACTCCGTGGTTATCTGGCGACTCGACCATCTGGCACAGCTTTCTTTTGGTGCCTCCTTATCGGTCATCTCGAAACAACCCACACCGCCATTTTTTTTCAGAGTCCTGCATTTCAGCTGATGTTGTTTTTGTTGGTTTTTCTTTGCAGCCCGAACAATTTTCCCCTGGCAGTGGTGGCCGAAATGTTTGCAGGTCCACCTGACCGTGGTTTGGTTTTAACCGAATCCCCGATTCTCCCATTCGTCCATCCCAGTTTGAACACTGCTGGCTGGCATGATCGATGCCTTGGCTACCTTTTCCCGTAGATCCGTCTAAAAACTCTTTAGCTCTCCCCAAGACCACATCAGTGGTTGGGTGAAAGATGCAAAAGTCTGTCTGGACTCCAGAAACTGGCTCAGCTTTTAGGGACACACACACTGATTACCAGCAAACGGCTCACATGTGAGGATGGTTATATTTTGTAGCCATTTGAACCCGTTTGTGGAACTTCTGTGGATGTTATCAGGCCAAAATCACCAGGGTATGTGAACCTTTGGTCGGGGTGATTTGGACAGGTTCTGATGTCATTGTTCAATTAAATAAAATTCAATTAATTTCAATTTTATTTATATAGCGCCACATCACAACAACAGTTGTCTCACAGCGCTTTCCAAACAGAGCAGGTCAGACCATACTCTGAAGTTAATTACAGAAACCCAACAATTCCCACCAAGAGCAAGCACTAGGCGACACAGGCAAGGAAAAACTTCCTTTTAACAGGCAGAAACCTCGAGCAGAACCATGGCTCAGGGTGGGGGGCCATCTGCCTCGGCCGGTTGCGGGTGAGGGAAAGAAAAGGCGAGAGAGAGAGAGAGAAGGACAGAGGGAGCAGAGAGAGGCAGCCAACACAGAAACACGTAGACTAGATGAAAAATGGCAATGATATTAATACTAATGATGATGGTAGAAGTTATGACGGCAAGAGAGCAGGAGCACGGGGGCAGCAGGAAACTCCCAACCACACATCCAGACTCCACAGCTCTAGGAGCACCTGCAGGAAGTGATAGGAGGAGACTCCCAACCACAGATCACAAAGAACCGCTTTGTGATTCACAAAGAGAAAAACGCAGTGTTGGACAATAAATGGAAAACAGGTTTTGGCGTTATCGTTCATAATCTCTGAAGAATGGTCAAAGAATAGATTCTGCCGGGCCACTTAAACTCATCAGCCCCACTGTACCGGAACGTCTTTGTTTCGTTCCAAACTGTAAGTCACATGACTCAGATAGGCCTCTGCACATTGGCAGCAAAATCCCGAGCCAGATGCGTCCCGTCATGTTTTCTCATCCCGCACCTCGCCTTTCGATCACCGGCTGATTTTTCTTTGTTCTGCTTTTACCCGACACGCTGCCTGCATTTCTGTATGCCTCGACCGTTTATTTTCCAATTGAACAGACATAAAGCCCCGCCGTTTGAAAACCACCGCTGTGAATAGATAGCAGGGGTTGTCGTGAGTAAGTGAAGGAGGTGTGTCCAGGAGGTGCGATTAAAAAGAGATTAGGATCTCAGACTTTGCATTCCACACTTCTTTGTCACAGCAATTTTACCGTCACAGCATCCAGCTGAGACCTGGGTCAAACATTAACTTCTATGAACTCATTTTGTACTTTTTGTCAGACTGATATCATTTTAATCCTTAATCCCATCAAACCTATTATCGTGTACAAGATTAGACTCATTACTACTCTATAAAATGTTAAAGATTGACAGGATTCCAGGCTGTAAAGCGGCCTTTTGCCGCTCTCCCAACATTCAAGAAGCATGCAAAGGTGTACCAAGCCCTTTTTGTGTCTATATCTATGGCATTCTAATGAGGGAAGGGCAGGAAAAGTTTGTTTACAAGTACTCCCGACACCATTTCTGAAGCATCCATGACAAACACTGAAAGCGTTCACGACAAAAAAGATATCACAGTTTGTTTGTTTTTTCAGAGGTGATATGAGGGAAACATATTGTGTGTGTTTTTCACCTAAGTAACTAAAACACGAAACCAGTATTTCATTCTTCTAATTTCACTAATAGCATCCCTATACTCCTTTTGTTTTTATCCTTTCACTTATAGTTTTTCTTTTGCTCTGTATTTTGGTCCATCAGCTTTGGACTGAGGAGGTGGAGAAAGTAAGTACGGCAATTTTGTGTTTTGTTTAGTTTTCTGGTCTGGTTTGTTAGGTTTAAAGCGCACATGTGAAGAATATCTGATTCACGATGTCGGATTGTTGTGATGATTTACTATCTGGATGACTATTCGGTGCTTTTTTTGCCATATCCTCCTGAGACCCAAAGAAAAAAAGTGTCTTCAAATTTCTTTTTTGTTGTGATTTTCCATGTATTTGGACCTAAAAAAGAACATTACAATTTCAATTAAAAAATATATATTTTTAATTTGAATTTCATAGCATGTCCACTGTGGAGGACAACAGGATGATTTGCATGGGAAAATAGAACAGGCTTTATATAATCAAATAATAAAAAAGAAGATGTCTTGAAAGGGATATTTACCTAAGAACTCTTAGGAAAAAAGTAAAGTTCCCAGCATGCAAACCTATCACATGGCACATCACTGGAAAGCCCAGGATGTCCTCTACAGAACACTATAGGGCTTGATAGGGTAACTCCAGATACTTAGGGGGGGTACAGGTGGACAAAATGTCCACTATAATGGACATAAATGAATGGGCCGGGTCTCAGGAGGATGTGACTGTGCTTGTGGGTCGATCTCGGCAGAACTGATGTGGTTGTTGTCGTCTTCAGGCCGAGCAGGAGCTCCGACTCGCCCAAACTGAGTTCGACCGGCAAATGGAAGTCACAGGGCTGCTTTTGGAGGGCATCAGTAGCACTCATGTACGGCTTTTTTACACCTCTTCACGACTAAATCAACTAAATCAGTTATTTTCCATCTGGGTCAATAACAATACTTTCAATATAAAGTATTATATCAATAAGATTAATCATTTTGATTGTAAAAAAAATGGGGATGTTAAAGATAAATTATTACAAAGCCTCTAAGTCGATAGATTTGTTTTCTCTTTAGATGTGTTCAGAAGAGATTAGTAGCCTAACTTAAGAACCACATGGCTTTAACTATTTCTCAATCTGCTCAGGCTGGAGTCATGAACTCTGACTTTGAAGAGCTGATTAAAAAAAAAAAGAAAGTCGAAGACAAGCTGAATAAATTTAACAAGTTTAAACAGAGCAACAGCTTGGTTTTTGTATGAACTTTTTTTGTGTAGAAACGGAACTATAATCAGTAGTTTTTTTGTTTGTTTTTTTACTTACCTCTCTAAACCTTTTCACAATTGAAAAAAAAATGTCCCAGAGGAGGAACGTGATTCATTGTTTTCGAGATTTGAAGCTTTCCAGTGAATTGAGATTGTTGTTAAGGAAAATGTTTTTCTTACTTGGCCCATGCTTGCCCTGCGTCATTTAACAAAGTAAAGCATCATCATAAATGACTGGTTTTCGCTCACATTTGATCAGACTTTTGACCGTATTCAGCTGATTTTCTGTTTTTTGCTGATACCGAATCCCTTCCTGTGCTTTTAGGTGAATCACCTCCGGTGCCTGCATGAGTTTGTGGAGGCCCAAGCGGCATATTACAAGCAATGTCACTTCCACATGCAGGAGCTGCAGAAAGAGCTGGGCAGGTAAGGGACTGAGTAAGGGGAACTGGCCCCACCCAGCCGGGTTACCGGCTTCCTTTTGATAAAGATAGAGCACACCATATGTTTTAAAATCTCTTTCAGCTTCAGATATATGTGACTGAGACTATTTCCCCAATATATTTCTTACTTATTAAGCGTTTAGAGAAAAAGGACAGGTGTGGATGTAGGACCCTGTTAGGGATTAAGGTTTATTCCATTTATTTCTTTATTTTTTCCGCTCTAATCATGACCAATCGCTACTTGTCATCTCATGCCCTCAGCTCTGAGGACGACGTGTGAGTATGATTCACGTTTTTTTGTCCTGTGTGATGATGAAATAGGTCTTTTATGGGGTTTTTTCACGTCCTCTGACACGCCTAAAGCCGGCAAAGAGCTGGTTACTCTAAACTCCGACAGGAAAACTGGCTAATTACAAAGATTATGTAATGGCTTTTTCGTCAAAACAGGATGTGAGTCAATCTGTCAAGCCTGGTGCTATTTTTGATCAGGTTCAAATGTTGGAAACACGTCTGACAGGTCGTGTTTCAGTGCCATCACGTTTCGGGCAAAAATGATTAGGATTACCGGCAGACTTGTTTTTTTTTTTTCTGTGAAGATCTTTTTTTTTTTTTTAGGATTTTCTTCAGAAAGCGTGTTGAGGGCACCTGCCATCTCGCTCTTTACAGAAATCCAAACATGTGGTAGAGTAAAACTCCCCTTAAACGCACAGGCCCGATAGCAATAGCAACATCTTTTTCTCTCTGTTTTATTCCTTTTTTTGTTTTAAAAAAAAAGTGTGTATTGTGTGTTTCTGACATTTAGGCCGTGGGCCAGAATCTGTACAACGTCTCCTTTAAATAATATGATGTAAATATGATATGTTTGGATTTAAATAGTATGATGTCGTGAGGAAAGGTTAAGATCGAAATAATTAAAAATATGTAAATATGAGAGGTTCAGATTTTTATATTGTATATAAATATTAATCCCTATTTAGTTTTTATTGACAGTGAAAATGATATTATTATTATTACATTTTTTATAGCAAAGTTTACCTGTGATAATAACACTTTATTCAACTTTAATTGGCTGTAATTAATTAATGTGCAAGTGAACCGTGGGAACATTGGCTTTTTGAGATCACTGAAGTCCAAAGTATCTAATTAAACTGGAGGAAAGTTGTCCCCAAAAAGTTCAAACGAAAACTCATCGTACAGATTCTGGCCCACGGCCTAATTGTAGCTTTGAACATTTATTTCTAAAAATGTGTATATTACATATTTAAGAGAGCTGGGACCATGTTGGACTTTCTGACATAGGTGAAATGTTTTTGCCTTATTAAGAATGTTACTAAGCTTGGTTTGAAGAGTTTTTCTGCTTTTAGTCTTTAAAGAAATGATCAAATTTGGTTCTAACCATCATATCTTCGCTCTTGCCCCCTAGGCTCCCCAATGCCTTTTCCCTGAACTCTACCCACCCCATGGGCCCTCCCTGCTCCGCATCAGATGGAAGCCCGGTGGAGACGGATACCCTGAAGATCGAAGAGGTCCAGGCCCCGGCTACTGGAACGCGAAAGGCCAAAGTTCTCTACGATTACGACGCGGCCGACTCCAGCGAGCTTTCCCTTCTGGCTGACGAGGTGAGCTTTCATCTTCTCATCTTTCAAGTGGGCCAATCAATGCCACGGGTCAGAAAATTCCTGAGCTCGGGTTAAGCAATAGCATGACTCAAGTCACACATCCCCACCTCTTCCAGGAGGACGGTGTTTCATTTCCTTATTGCATACCTTTCTTCCTGCCTTTTTTCTGGTGAATCTGATAACTCTTTTGAACTCTGATCCGATCTCAATTTCTTGAAAAGGAACCTCAACGTGTTGCCATTTGAGAGCTTCTAGTTTGAAAAAAAAAGACAAAACAAACAAACTGCAATATAAAGGAGCGAGACAGATGTTACAAGCTTCCTGCCATTGCGCTGACTCGGGAGTTTGAGTCAGACCTTTGTGCAGGAATGAGTCCTTCAAGGAAAACCCTATGTGTAAACAAACAGAGGCTTTGTAACCACCTGCTTCACAGTATGTGCAGGGATTAAACAGATGGTGGTGTGGTGGTTTGCACCGTCCCCTTGCGGCAAGAAGGTTCTGGGTTCGAGTCCCCGGGGGAACCAGGACCTTTCGGTGTGGAGTCTGCATGTTCTCCTGTGTCTGTGGGTTCTCTCCGGCTTCCTCTCACCGCCCCAAAACCTGCATGTTAGGCTGGTTGGACACTCCAAACTGCCCTTAGGAGTCAGTGTGCGTGGTTGTTGGTCCTTGTGTGTCTCTGTGTGACCCTGCAATGGACTGGCGGACTGTCAAGTTCTTTCTTTAACTTGTGCAGCTTCCCCACTTGAGAAGGGATGGATGAATTGATGCAGACTCTAATCAGCATGGTTTTACTCAAAGGACCAAGCAGTTCTCTTCATTGCATTCTCCATTTATTTAATGTGTATTAGAACATGTTGACCTTTGGTCCAGAAGCAGGTAAAAACCTTTAAACAAACCCAAAAGAAGAAAAATAAATAATTACTTATCTGTATATAAGTTTACATAAATTAATTTCCCTCAAATTATATAACACCTTCACTCAAATTATATAAGCAAACCACTGTGAATCAAACCCATAAAGTATATCAAAGTTAAATGAACAAGTAATTAAGTTCCTTAACCTTAATCATGTGTCCAGGGTGTACCCAGGCTCTTGCCCATTGACCACTGGGACCCCTTTAGGGAATAATGGACGGATGGATAGCCCTTTTCCTGTTTGTCCTCATGATATGACTGTTGACCAAAACCCTCTTCTGTTTCTTTCCAGCTAATCACAGTGTACACCGTGCCGGGGATGGACTCCGACTGGCTGATCGGAGAGAGGGGGAACCTGAAAGGAAAAGTGCCGGTCACGTACCTGGAGCTCCTCAGCTAGAGGACGGCGCGGGTGCATGAGCATGAAACCAGCGCAGCCGGAGCCACGCCCATCTTCCATTCCGTGCCCCGCACTAACACGTAACCACTCCTCCACGATGCGTGCACCTGCAAAAGTCCAGCCCGCACATTTGAGTAGACCCTTCGGGAAAGCCACTCAAGCATAGTCGCCTCATAGAAACAGCAGTGAAAATGGAACCATTGTTACAAGTGCTGGAGAATTCTCCATTTCTTTTTCCATAGCTTTGTTCAGTTGATATTATTACTATTATTACCATAATCTTATGATTTATTTATATTTATCGGGGTACATCCCACAAGTTTCATCTAAATACACAGATTAATTCATCTTTTTTTTCCCAGTGTCTTATTGTTATTGTTTAAATTTTTTCTCTGTAAAGTTTCCCCTGAGTTCTGATGAAATTGTACAACAGGGAAATAACCCATTTTCAAAAATCCTCCATCAAGATTGTAAATGCAAGCTGGAACTTGCGCGTCTGATTCGGCTGATCCAGATGCAGTTAGTCGTGTCTTTTGGCTGAAATTGTGTCGTCAGGTGCCAGATGGAACCGTGCTGCTTTGCAGCCATCAGAAGAGAGAGAAAGTAATCTCCCATTTCAGTCCCTAAAGACAAGAATTAAAGTCGCGCCTTCGATTAATTGCATGCAAATGATTTAAACTTTTTAATGTGAACCAATATGACATGAACTTTTATTTATTTATTTTGTTGGTCCATAAGCTATTTTTCCTTTGCCTACACTGGAGGACTTCTCTCACCTTTGACCTTTGAGAAGGCTCGCCTCGATTGCTGATTGAAATGAATGTAAAACGTCCATTTTGCTGAGCAGATCATGTAAAACAGAGACAGTCCGGCTTGCCGAGGGTCGGTTGGTTTGTTTCCCATATTTCACAACAGCAAAAATAAACCCGAACTCTCCCGGTCGGACCGCCTTAAGACCACTGGAAGGAGCTGCTCACACTGACTGACATCCACCACAGCCAGCATGCAAGTCTGGAAAACGGCTCCAGTTTTTTTTTCTTAGTTTACCACAATCTTCTTGGTTCATTTAAGTGTCCTCTGTCTTAATGCTGCATGTGCTGCAAGCTACTAGTGTGTGTGTGTGTGTGTGTGTGTGTGTGTGTGTGTGTGTGTGTGTGTGTGTGTGTGTGTGTGTGTGTGGAAGTTGGAGCGTATATGAGGCAGCTGAGTCTGTCCATGTGAGATCTGAATGTGTTTTCAACAATACTGATGAGCTTTTACACATCCAGAATGGAAATGCACTCTTGTTTTATGGATTCTTTTTTTTTTTTTTTTTTTTTGCCTAACTTGGTGTGATGAGTTTTGATTAAAAAAAAAAGCTTAACGAAGCCACTTTACCTTCTTGTTCGGTGCTTGCTTCAGTTTCTTTTCTTTCTTTGAAATGAACTTGTTGGTGTTCCATAAAGTACCTCATTTTGTATCGGTCAATTTTTTTTTGTTGTCAACTTGCTTTTTGCCTGTTTCTCTCTGAATGAACAATATGTGTGGGATTTAATAAAGTTTAATTTATTTGAATTGGTCGACATCTTTTTTCTTTTTATTTTACAACTTGCGGATTAAAAACGATCAGCTATTTCCAGGCTTTGGGACGCGGGAAAAAAGAAAAGGAAAGACCTGTTTCATCATCACACAAGACGAAAGCATGAATCATACTCCCACTTCACCCTCAGAGCTGAGTTTATGAGATGGCAGTCGTCAAATAATTCACAGCCTCCCCCTGATATGCCAAAACGTTTAGGTTCTAAAACAGCTGGGAAACGAAAAGAGGACGTGACAAATCCGAAATGTGTTTGTTTTTTAAATTCTCAGGGAAAACTTGGCAATCAATAACGGAAAATTTCCCCTTTGTTTTAAAAACTAAAAAGCAAACTTGATTGATATGGTCATGCAATGGTTTTCCTTTCCTTCCCTTTCTTACGACACATGTGAGCAACACCATCCAGCCGGGGTTATCTGTGGTCCTGTTTTATGTTTCCTGTGGAGCAATTAGCAAAAAGTTAGTGATTCGTGGCTCGTTGTAAAAGTACTGAATGTTGCAAGGCCACAAATGTGATTCAGGATCTTGATATATAAAAGCATTCATGTTGCCAAGTAGCTGAGCCAAACAAGAGTGGTGTGACGTAAATCTTGAAAAGTAATTAGGTGTTTAATCATTGACTTGAGTCAGTAATCGAAGAATATGTCATTAATGCCATCTTGGTACCCACAGATTCTGAAAAACTGCAACTCAGACTTTTTGGAACATGTGTCGATACTAAGAGGGCTCAGATTGTGTCATATTAGTTTGATTTAGTTTCGGGGTAAGGGTCAGGGTAAAGGTTAGCGTTACGGTATTTCCCATTGTTTTGCTTTGCAAAGTGAGCGGGTGCTTGCCCAGAAAGGAAATGCATCAGCAGATATCTTCAAAAAAGTCATATGACAATCCTGCAGGAGGGGACTTCTTACTAACCATGTTTCCATGAATTAATATCTCTCTATAGCTCTACCGCAAAAAAAACTCTTTTGACCAGAAATCTAGAAAGCAAACTGAATTTTCAGATGCCAGGAGAGACTTTCAAACAGTCCAAAGTTTTCAATCTTATTCTAACTGTACTGTTGTCAAACATTTAAGGTGCTAACTGAGTTTCTGGGACATCCACACCAGAGAAGATATATTCATTCATTTATTTTCTAGGAAATAAATGTCTACTGTTAAGCGATGACACAAAATTGTTCGGATTTTTTTTCCTTTAATCATTGCTAAAATCTTGGCACTGTAGTTACACACAGATCTGGAAGCTCTAACTTGGTAGAAGTGCATTTGATAAGCTGAGCAAGAGGTTGCTTATTAACTAGAAAGTTACTTTTTATAATGGGATGCATTTGAAACAAATGAGGTTAACCAAAGTATTTCGTACAGGTTTCGTAATTCGCAATGTCACAATGGTTTCATTACCCTTTTTGTAGACACATGTTGTGTGTAATGATGTAACAGTTAATTGTGTCATTCTTTGAACACAGGATGTTTATTTTTTGACTCAGGCAAATCAAAGTAGGCTCTTTTCTTGCACAAATCAGGGTTAGTTTTTAGTGTCCCTTCAGATTTGCTTTTCAAGTGCAAATCAACACAAAGTAACTTCCAATTTTTTTGTGGTTGAGTTTTTGTTTTCTTGGTCAATAACTAAATCATGCAAAGAGAAACTCCTTTTGTCTATTTCAAAAACAAAAACCACATTAGCATAGCACACACATGGAGACATGTTACAACAGCTTATAAAAATGAAACCCATTTGCCAACATGACTTCCCAAGTTGAAATAAAATTGTGAAAGGAAATTAAACCACACCTATAATACATGTTTGTATGTATGCATACGTACAAATGAATACATATATGTGTATATATGCATTCATATAATGTGCACCAGGTGTCTCACTGAGTTTCACTCTCCAGGTATAGCTGAAACTTTGTGCAATAAATAGTTAGCCTAAACAGTATCGTGGTAATTTCCCAGGGGCGATAAAGGACTTTCCAGCTATGTTGACAGCTTGAATGCTTTACCTCAATTAGCAGTCAAAACATTCGGCCGGTTTTGGTTGAAGTAATTCCAAGGAAATTAATACTTCCTTCACATTCCTACACAAACCCTGTGTAGGTGGCACCAACGTGCAACAAAGAGGACACATCCTCGCCACAACAACAGCTGAATACTCCAGATGAAACAGAAACTCACGGTTGAGGAAAGGCTCACTGGGAATTAACACACAATAACTTTTCTCGAAATAATCGTTGACAAGCGTGCTATCAGTTTGAACAATAACCTGATGATCACACGGCCGTGTGATGCAATGAGGAAATAGATGAGAACGTTTTCAGAAAAGAAAAGTCACATACTTATCTCAACTTTAATATGATAAGACATTCTAATGATGTAGAAAGATTGGATAGTAAATTGTTATTGTTGACAGTTTTTTTTTTCCAGCTACCAAAATAAAGTGGATGTGTAACGTTGGCCATGATGACTGTTGCTGGTAAAAGTATATATAAGGGAAATAAAAGGCCGTGGTAAAACAATTTTTAGTCTCATTTTTTGCATTTAACAACGTTTTTGCACGATGATTAGGTCAACGGTTCAAGCCCCGCTTGAACACCCCATAAAAAAGAGAAGAAAAAAAAGCACAGGGATGAAAAAAGACTATATGAGTTATGTCAACGTGGGCTTTTAGGAATTCAGGTTAGCTAAATCTGCTGTAAAATGACAGGTTACTGTCTGCTTTCAACCATGTACAGATGACTTACAATTTACTCAGAAATCTTGACTACGAAGAGAAAGGAATTTGTTTGCGGTTTTTAAGTTCAGACAGACAGATGGTGAATCATAAAAACGATATATCAAGAACTCAGGGATGACACATTTAAGTTTAAATGTCTGCTTTTTGCATACAACCATACAACCATATTTTGTGTAATGAAATATATAATTATTTGTTTCAAAATAAAGCAATGTTAAATATCAGCTAACCTTCATTCATTGTTTATATTAAATGTAATCTGACAATTTGATGGAACAACTGCACACACTCTGTAATGTTTACTTATCAAGATGAAAGTTTTTGGATGGTATCTAATCTTATTTAAACCTGGGATACTGCTTGAACATAAACTCTGTTTTCCCTGAAAAATGCATGGTTAAACATTGTTTACTCTGCAATTTGTTAGCTTATTTAATTATATATATGAAAAAATGAATAAATAAAATACATTTTCTAAGTGTCAAATAGTATAAATTCCAGATTTAGCTATTTGGATTCCTGTTTTCCATTGATTCATATTTCCGGGGCGTATGTTTATCAGCATACAATCATTAAGTGCATGTATGAGAGAGTGAATCTTGCTGAAATGTCCTTGGAAAATTGTTTTAGCATTTTTCATCAGCAGTTTTAGTTGTAATTTAAGATTAAATCAAAGTTTGCTGAAGTGCTGATATTGAAAGTTTTAAGGTCTTTGAGTGTGAGTGCTCAAAGTTATAGAATCTTTCAAAATAGTGTTAAATAATGAAAGAGTAGGGTGAGTGGGGCGAGTTCTCTGTGAGTCTTACGAGTCGGATATCTATCGGTGTGTTTGACTTAAATAACATTTTTCCCTAACGAAAGTTCAAGCCCCTGGATGGATTTCAATGTGTCTTACGAGTGAGATTTATTTTCATGCATAACTACAGCAAAGTGATTGATTTCAACCAGTAAAAGAAGAATCACAGAAGCTGTGAAACAATTATTTTTAAAGAACTGCAGCCCATTCATTCAAAGCTTTCCTATAAAACTTATTTAATCTAATATAAACCAGCCGTACAAGAATTTTTAAAGTAGTGTTAGAAAAGTGGAAAGTAGCTCATTAAATTATTGTATTGGCAGGAAAGATTTGGGGAATGGCAACAGGTGTTGTTTCACTTTTATTGAATTATTTTTCTAAAGATCTGGGTGTTGCTATAGATGATGCAGACTGGAAGTGGGTCTGGTCTCAGGTTTGAACATTTCTGTGTAAGCACACAAAAACCCTTCAGAGTTCAGAGTTGCACACCGTATAAATACGACAACTGTGGTCAAGAACAAAATGGAAGCTTGTGTTTCCCCACTTTGCTGGAAATGTAATTCTGAGACTGGTCATTTTGTTTTGACTGCCTCTGGTCAGGTGGGAGGTCACAAAGGTGCTGGCTTAGTATCGGGAACGAGCTGAATGCTGTCTTTGGTGTTAAGGGACCGGACCCTATGTGTCTGATGCTCGACTTAATGACAGTAAACACAACAGACTTTTAAATTAAATGTATTCACTTTTGCTGCCTGAAAGAACCTGTTTTAAGGATGAATAAATATTGACATTTCGATGATGATCATGATGATGATGACGATGAGGACATGTTTATGTTGAAAATTGGTGATTGAACTTGCAAATGATAATTAATCCTATCACATAATACCAATATTGTGTCATGATTTAGTCCAAATAATTTAGCCCTCCCCTAAGCTTGTTCAGATGACTCTAAATGTTGGTTTGAAATTATATGTACTTGCATTGTAAGTTGCTTTGGATAAAAAAATGTCCCTTAAATGCGTAAACATAAACATACAGTGTTTATGAAAGAAATTCTTTTAACAGACTTAAGAAAAAATGGGTAATTTTTAACCATACAACCATATTTTGTGTAACGAAACACATCATTATTTGTTTCAAAATAAA